TTTGATTTGCATCAAACCACCCCAAATTTTAATATTTCACTTCTGTTTTCTGTCAGAAAATTTTGGACCCACTCTAATGCAAATGCATGTGCACTATATGTACAGATTTCATAAGCATATATATATATATATATATATACACAATCTCCATGCATGCACATAGTGCGTACTCACATATACACTTATGTGCATAAATCACACATCCATACTACATGGAAACAAACAATGGACACTACATACATTGAACAGTGACACACTGCATGTGCACACAATGTACACACAACCCATACACTCAATATGCATGCACACGCTCTCACACACACACAAAATGTTGATACATTACATATACCTACATTACGAATGTCCACAAACACAAAGTATAAGTATATTTTAGCGTACATGTAAACACAAGGTCAGACAATACATGCTCACATACACACAAAACATCATTGCCAACTCTCAGGAATTTATTGCAAATCTCATAAATATTTTGGGGTTTTCTCAAAGCCCCTGGTTCTGGAGTCAAATGACTACCTGAGAATCTGTGTTCTTTTTTAAAAAAAGTAAGCTTCTAGCTCTCAAGTCATCATAATTGCAGAGAAAAGTCTGAAAATGTGAACCTTGAAGGCTCAAAAACCAGAAGGCGAATAAAGGAAATCAGAATGTATTATTTTGCTAATCATGTGGCTTCTTGAGTCCTGACTCATGATTTTTGAAATCTTGGAGTTGGCAATACTGTAACAATCATGTATACACACTAAAAATACACCCTATGTGAATATATCAGCACTCAAATACATACAGATATTACTTACATGCACTCGCTGTACCTTTGTGCACACATTGCACATACAACCCAAACATAGGTGTACAAATGCAGTTATGTACTATGTAGTATATACACAATACCTGAAAATACTGAACACACATCCTGCATAGACGCGCCCACAAATGTGCAGCAGGAAATACTGAAGCCAAACTTTTCACTTTGAAATGACATTTCAAAACTAAATGAAAATTTTTGTTTTGATTCAACTTAAAATGGCATTTCAATGTGGTTTTGGGGTTTAAAAGTTTTCATTTTTTAAAATCTCAAAATGTCATTTGAAATGACCATTTTTCATTTTGTTTCAATTTATACTGTTGTCTTTTGAACTGAAACAAAAGACAACAAAAATGTTCTTTGTATTTCAAAAGGTTGATACAAAGCAAATAAGTCTGCGAGTCCCCACAGGAAAGCTGATATTTTTTGACTGAAATTTTGAATGAAGATTTTTCATTTAAAATTTCTCACAGGAAAAATTTTGGTTTTCCGAACAGTTCAGTTACACCTACATGACACGCTACTTATTATACCGGTGGATCCTACATATCTGCACTCATTACAAATACACACTGTGGACACGACACACATGCACACAATGTGTGCAAAGATATATGCATTATATATGTGCACAAACACCACAGACAGCGGCAGGCAACACTCACTCTTGTAGTCTTTGTTAAGGAGCACAAGCAAGAAAGCCAATTTTAGATCAAATAAGCTGAGGTCCCCTGGCTCAGGTTCTACTGCTGGTGATGCTAAAGTTTAGTGCCAGTGTGAAAAAACAAATACGCTATAAAAATAGTTCACAACATCCATACCCCTTGTTTCATTCCATCCCTTGTTGTAAACCAAACCAGCAGATGCATCAAGAGTCCTTCAAACTGACTCCTTGAAATAAAGGAAAACAGCATGAAGGCAGTAAAACAAAATAGGAAAGCGGGGGGCATTAATTTATAGGGGACAGCAATGGGAATGTAAAAAACCAGGAGTCAGAGGGCTACAAAGTTGCAGTTGTCATTAACTTGCAGTAAGAATATTAAATTGCAGCCTGCATGCAAATGCACACAGCCCACCTCTGAACCTCCTTGGTTCTTCTCTGCACCTAAGTGATTTAATGCCCTGCCCCATGTGGTTTATTTACTTCCTCTTGCTCCATTTAATTGAAGCCAGGGGCCTTCACACCATCTTGGGTCAGCAATGAAGCATTTGTTACCTGCACCAGGCAGTGCACCAGGGGCACAGGCAGGGGAAGGGACCAAGCCTTAAAACACAACAAGCAACAGTTGAAGTCTGTGCAGTGGGATGTGGTTACTTGTCTGTTCTTATTAGTTTTGTTAAGCAGTATGTTACTCTGACATCTGCAGAGTATTTGCAAGGAAATTGAGACAACTCTGAGCTGACACAGAAGACTTTGCATATAATGGATATTTACACCCAAACAGAAGTGTTAGAAAAACTTTAGAAAAGCCCCACATTTCCCAGTGTAGATGAAGTGCCCTAAACTGAGTAACTAGGCAATTGATTAAGATACAATGCATGTAAAATCAATATCCGTTTATTAAACACAATACAATTACCATACACTTAAAAATAAGAAAAGAGGCACATTAAAGTGTTTGCTTATACACAAGAGCAAGGAATATGGGAAATAAACAATAGGAGCTAGAAGTATTACCAAGGCATAGAGATTAAGACCCAGTGGGATTTGAGGGTGGTGGTAGGTGCTGGTAATTCTTAGAGCTGAAATACCCAGGGTCAGTATTGCTGGATACTATCTCTCTGGGAAAAAGAAGAAGAGCTGGAGGGGTTAATGATGAATAGCTTCTCAAAAGGAGGTGCTATAATATTATTGTAGGAATTAAGGGCTTGTCTACACTGGCACTTTACAGCGCAGCAACTTTCTTGCTCAGGGGTGTGAAAAAACACACCCCTGAGTGCTGCAAGGTTTAGCCCTTTAACATTGCCAGTGAAGACGTGACCTTAGAGATCTCTACCTCCAGGAAGCCTTCGATGAGGAAGAACAGCATAGGTGGAGGGAGGAATAAAGCTTGAATGTTGCACTGTCTGTTTATGCTTGCACACAGAACATGGTGTCAGCAGTGAGTCGACTCCTGAAGGTACATGAAATCAGAAACTAGGATTATTTAAAAAAAACAGAGAGAAAACAATAATCATGGCAGCATCCCAGATTTCTGACCCCCTAGCATATGGAAATGAATGGAGATGTGTTTAGTGATTTGACTTTCCCTGGGTTACAATGAGAAAACTACAAAATTGCAGCAGGCCTGGATACAAAGGAAAACCAAATCAGAGCAGCCACACATAATAGGAAAAGCTCCCTCCCTATGTCCACAGAGAAAGAGGCAGAAGCCCCTGGCTATTAGTGCATATGAGGTACTCTGGGGCTTGCAGTCCAAATCTGAGAGTAGATGGAGTAAAGATGATTCTTGGGGCTACATCTGGAGGCTGAAGGTTTTGACCCATGCTGGGAAATGAACAGGGCAGCCTCAGGGGTTTACGGGTGCTAGACATGGTAAAATGGGGTCTCCATCACACTGTGAGATGATGAGTGGGGGAGGCCGTTGTATCTGGACTGCACATAGAAACTAGTGTTATTCCTCTCATAAAGGGGATGTGAAATGAGAAGCCTCTAAGACATAGTCACCAACCTGCAGGCATCAGCCTTGTGCTCAGCGTCTGAAGGAGACAAGTGACCTCAGTCTTCTGGAGCAAACCTGTGACACTGGGTGCTTCAAGCCAGGTATTCATACATGTGAAGATCAGAAGGGACCATTATGATCAACTAGTCTGAGCTGCATTTATTTTTTTCCAGGTCAATAATAATCAATAGCACTAGACCACGAAAAAATCCTGTAGGACCTGACTAGAAAAACACCCATTCACTGATGATTCCCCATTACAGGTTGAACTGTCAGTTAGCCAGTTTTTAATCCATTTAATATGTGCTATGTTGATTTTGTACAGTGCTATTTTTAAAATCAGAATGGTGTGTGCTACTAAGACAAACATCTAAGAAGTCCAAGTATTACATCGACATAGTTACCTTTACTTGTAAGCTCATTACCAACTGGTAATCTCATCAAAAAATCCAACAATTTGATAATATATATTTTCTGTAAAACCACGCTTACTGGGTATTAATTATGATACCATCCTTTAATTGTCTACTGATTGAATCCCATATCAGCCATTTGATGACTATGCCTGGCATTATGTCAGGCTAACTCGCCTATAGCTACTTGGGTCATCCCATTTACCCTTTACAAATATTGGCAGAACATTCACTTCTTTCCAGTCCTTTGGAACATCCTCAGTATTCCAAGTCTGATTAAAGATCCACATCAGTGGGTCAGAGAGCAACTTGGTCAGTTCTCTTAAAGCACTAGGGTGCACCAATCACTGGTCATGGTGTGACTATACGCCACTGCTCGCCCTGGGAGATGAGGAGGAGCTGCACAATAGCAGTTTTCCCCAGAGGCATTGTGCCTGAGGCAGGACCACTGTCTCTAGTGACACTGGGGGAGCGCACACAGGAATTGCATCTGCTAAACCCCGATAAAAGGGTTCAGGGCACTTTCCCCTCTGACCATCTGTGACAATCAGGGTCCAGACACCCCCCAGGGCACACAGAAGGTATAAACCCCACAAATGAGCAGTTGAACCAACTGATTGCATGCTGTATTATTGTACTACAAAAGTGTATCAAGTAAATGCTTTTATGGAAGCTTGTAATGTTCTGAATTTAATGGTCATTATGACATATGTATTCAGACTGTGGTTATGAATCTATGTATTTATTTATATAGAAAACTGTGCTCATACTGTGTACTACAATTTCAATTACGTCACAGCAGGGACGGGGTGCCTCCCAAACCAGGTAGTTCCACAAAACTGGCTGCAAGAAATGACCCATTTTCCAGCCACAAAGAGACAATGGTGGACCATTAGAATTAATAGAAAAGTGTCGAGACATCCCAGCTCTTAAATTAAGAGGGTGTTACACAGACAGATTGGAACTGTTAACACAGATCACCTTTGAATCCAAAGTAATAGGACCCCTCCCTACTGTGGTTCATCCTCCTTATTCAGTATCTATCAACTGTCAGTATTCGCCCTACCCACCTCCCCTTCCAATAACTCTATTACCACAATATAAACTTAAACAAAGGGAATTTATTATCACAAAATGACACAGAAGGTTTAATACAAAGGGCTTGAAGTCTGGACCCAGAAATCAACACAATGAAGTGTTTCAAATACACAAAAGGGTTACTACTGTACTGTCTCTGTGCAAGAACAAGGATGTCGGACCGGGAACCATGACTCGGGAGCCAGGAACCTCCACAGAAACCAGGAGCTGGGAATCAGGAACTCGCTGACCAGTAGCCACATCACAACAGGATCAGGCTCATGATGGTAAGTCACAGGCAGGTCTTCTGTCTTCTTTCTTGATCTGATGATATGTGGACACAGTCTGCCACTAGGATGGGCTAACAGAGCCGCGTCCTTATACATACTTTCCCTAAGGTCACATGTCCTTTCCTGCCTTTTCTGGTTGCTGGACAGATTTTTCAGCAGTATCTGGGCAGAATTTAACAGCAGTTACCAAACACATTAACCCAAAGCTTTCAAACATCAACGGGGCTAATGAGTAACAGATAAAAAGGAGCCAGATTTGAAACAAAAGGACAACAAGAAGGCTATCCAAAATGGAGGATGGTAAACAACATGGAGGGTATTTTAAAACCAAAATGGCTATGCTGTTCTATAGGGGGATTTCCAGACTCTGAATATGAGACTGAGAGGGGGGAAAAGAGGAAGAAGCCTTTTAAAAACAGGCTTGTGTCTGAGGGTTTTTTTTATCCAGAAACTGAGGGACAGTCACTTGGCAGTAGGGTTGCCAACTTTCTAATGGCACAAAACTGAACACCCCTTCTCCGAGGCCCTGCCTCTGCTCACTCCATCCCCCTCCCTCCATCACTCAGTCTCCCCCACTCTCACCGGGCTGTGGCAGGGGGTTGGGGTGTGGGAGGGGGTGAGGGCTCCAGCTGGGGGTGCAGGCTCTGGGGTTGGGGCCATAAATGAGGGGTTCAGGGTGTGGGAGGAGGCTCAGGGCTGGGGAAGGGAGTTGGGATGTGGAGGGTTGAGGACTCCGGCTGAGGGTGCAGGCTCTGGAGTGGGGCTGGGGTTGAAGGATTTGGGGTGCAGGAGGGGGCTCTGGACTGGGGCCAAGTGGTTCGGAGTGCACGAGGGGGTGAGGGCTCCAGCTGGGGGTGTGGGCTCTGGGGTGGGACCGGGGATGAGGCATTTGGGGTGCAGGAAAGGGCTCTGGACTGGGGCAGGGTGCTGGGGTGTTGGGCGGGGTGTGGAGTGCAGGCTCCGGGAGGGAGTTTGGGTGCAGGAGGGGAGAGCAGGAGGGGGCTTGGGGTGTGGGGTCCTGGCAGCACTTACCACAAGTCTCATAAAGTGGCCACCAGATCCCTGTGGCCCCTAGGCACATGGGTGGCCAGGGAGGCTCTGCATGCTGCCCTGGTGCCCACAGGCGCCACCCCTGCAGCTCCCATTGGTCGCGGTTTCGAAGTTATTTATTTTCTATTAAATAAAACTCCAGGCAGGCGTGAAGTGTGGGTGCCAAAGGAAGCTGGTGTCTGAGGAACTGGTTTCACGGCTTCGGGGGTGATGAACCAGAAGGGAATGGTCCAAGTATCCAGTAGTTAAGAACTCAGGGAGGACACATTTGGGGAGACTTAGGACCAGAAGGGCTGCTGGCATCATGCTTCAATGAGTTACTAGGCAGGTGGTGGAAGACAGGGTGAGACCTTGTGGTTGTGGGAAGCCTACTGGTGTCAGGGGTCTGAACCAAAGCTGGTTACAGGGCAGGAAGTGACAGAACCCCTTCCTGGTCTGGGTGATCCCCAAAACATCACACCATTCTTGCACCACTTCACTCCCTAACATCACGGTCTTCATGAGATCCTCCAGTACTTGCACACTGAGTGTGGAGGGATTGCATTTGTGCCTGCTTCCTGCACAGGGTTAAAGAGAGGAGGGAGGGGGAACTGCTTGTGTTCTGTTGTCCCACACTCCTTGTATATCTGTTCAGGTCTAGTCACAACCCAGCCCTCACTGTTGTTATTGTAACCCTTCCTACATCCCTGTGAGCAGAGCATTCCTTAAAGACAACTGATAAGATGCAAGCAGACAGGTCTTTGGTCCCTGGTCCAGCTAGTTTGCTCTCTGAAACTGCCTTAGCTATCGTGTCTCCAGATACAGTTTGTATAGATTCCAAGGCCAGAAGGGACCATTGTGGTCATCTAGTCTGATCTCCTGTATTGCACAGGCCATAGAACTTCCCCAAAACAATTCCTAGAGCAGATCTTTAAGAAAAAAATCCAATCCTAATTTTAAAATGGTCAGTTCTGGAGAATCCACCATGACCCTTGGAAAATTGTTCCAATGGTTAATTAACCTCACTGTCAAAACCTTACACCTTATATCCAGTCTGAATTTGTCTAGCTTCAACTTCCAGCCACTTCCTGTTATACCTTTCTCTGCTAGACTTAAGAGCCCATTATTAAATATTTGTTCCCTATGTAGATACTTACAGGCTAATCAAACCATCCCTTTGTTAAGTTAAATAAATGGACTCAAAGAGATCAATCACTATAAGGCAGTTTTTCCAATCCTTTAATCACTCTTCTCTGAACCCTCTCCAATTTATCAACATCCCTCTTGAATTGTTAGCACCATAACTAGACACAGCATTCCAGCAGCAATTACAGTACTTAAAATAACCTTTCTACTCCTACTCAAAATTCTTCTGTTTATGCATCCCAGGATCACATTAGCTCTCTTCAGACTGGTCAACACCACCGGGGTAAGTTGACCTAAGTTACGCTACTTCATTTATGTGAATAACGTAACTGAAGTCGACGTAGTTTAGGTCAACTTACCGCAGTGTCTACACCATGCTGTGTTGATGGGAGACACTCTCCCGCCTCTCAGATAGGTGGAGTAAGCAGATTGATGGGAGAGCGCTCTCCCATATATTTAGTGTGTCTTCACCAGACTTGCTAAGTCGACACCTACTGCATCGATTGCCGCAGTGCCAATCTACCGGTAAGTATAGACATGGCCTTAGCCACAGCATCACAGTAAGAGCTCATGTTCAGTGATAGGTTAGTAATAAGGAAAAAGATGCAGGAGCTCACATGAGAATGCCACAAAGCCCACACTATCTCTACCAAGAGTTATCATTTGTAAAGCTAGTGAACATGCTCACATCTAAATACAGAGCATTAGCGAAGCAGACACAGAGATAATTCACCAAGTTGCACAGGGAAAGCATTAAATTACAAGGAAAATACACCACAATCCATGCAAAGGGAAATGCAGAAACACAAAGCAGAGGTGACACACAAAATGCAAAGGAAGACATTAATACAATTGAGAAAAAGATGATCATTGGAATTCCCTGATTATCGGGTCATATGCAATAATTGTGGCAAGAGAAATCATTCTGCTAAAGCTTGCAGACAAGAAAAACAAGTTAAAAATGAACTATATAGAGGAAGCAAGTAAATGAATGGCATTGATGCAGTGCAAACAGCAGAAGTATGTGGTTTATGCCTGGGATGTAGCTCAGTGGCAGAGCACGTGCTTTGCATGTAAGTAAGTGCCTGTGGGTTCAATCCTTGCCATCTACAATGGATTCTTCTTGGAGGATAGGTCCATCAATGGCTGTTAGCCAAGATGGTCAGGAACACAATCGCAAGCTCTGGGTGTCCCTAAACCTCTGACTGCCAGAAGCTGGAACTGGATGACAAGAGATGGATCACTTGATAACTGTCCTGTTCTATTCATTCCCACAGAAGCATCTGGCACTGGTCACTGTCAGAAGACAGGATACTAGGCTAGATGGACCGCTGGTCTGACCCAGCATGACCATTCTTATGTAAAGCAATAATGCAAATGGAAAAAGAAGGCATCATGTTAAAGTCTCAGAGCCCCACAAATTGGATAAGCTCATGGTAGCCATTGAGAGGCCAGGCAACCTATGCATTTGCACAGATCCAAGCAACTTAACACACTAAAAAGAGCTCACTACCAAATGCCAAATATAGCAAGATGTTATAACGGGTCTCACAAGGATCAGTGTCATGGCTGAAGACATTCTGGTCTACAGACATGGAGACAGTATGGTAGAAGCTGTGGCAGATCACAACCACAGTCTCATCTAGCTGCTAGAAAAAGCCATTGAAGTAAATCAAAAATTAAATAAAAACAAGATGAAATTGTGATTGACTGCAGTACCATACATGGGATATTTGCTGCCCTCCCAAGGGTTATGACCTGACCCTGAAAAGGTAAAATCAGTACAGCAGATACTCACACCTAAATCAGTTCAGAGACTATTAGTTTACGAATCCTATCTGCCAAAATTTCTTCCATGCCTTTCAGATGTATGCAAACCCCTGAGGTGACTACTCGACAAAGAAACTGTATGGGCATTGTTACTTTAACATGATGGAGCCATCACACACATCAAGGAGCTGGTGAACAACTATCCCATCCTGAAGTGCTATAATGTGAACAAAGAACAGCCATACAATGTGATGCCAGTGAAATGGGGCATGGGGCATAGGACATCACTCCTAGAAAAGGGACATTTGGTAGCTTTTGCATCAAGGTCACTATTGCCAATGCAAGTAAGATTAATCCAAACTAAAAAGTAATATCTTGCAATATAGTGTTCACACGTGAAAAGTTTGTCCATTGTATTCAAGGAAAGGAAACCATTTGCATAGAAAGTGACATAAACCACTAGAGAGCATTTCTAAATAGCAACTGCCCACAACTGCCTTCAGCTCATGCTACTGAAACAGTAATGTTACAATATAGGTGAACACTACAAGAAAGAGATTGAGATGTACATACCTGACTTCTTATCCACAGCAGCCTTGCAGCATGAAAATACAGCAACTGAACAAGAATATGGGATCCTCTACCTGACAGAAATACAGAATACACAGAAAGATATCAAATGCATCCACCAAGCCACATATATGCCTGTTTCAAGGCAGGGACAGGAAAAAATCCAAGAATAAAGTATACAAAACAAAGATTTACAAGAACTTGTGTCCATTGTACTGTGAGGATGGCCAGACACAAAGGGAGAAGGGGAGACACTCACCTGTCTCTCAAGAATACTGGAACTATTAAAATGAGATGAGTGTCTAAGATAGCATCATATGTAAAGGCAGTCAAATCATAACATGCATATCATTGGGAACAGACCTCCTCTCAAGAATACGTCAGAGCAATTCTGGACTAGAAGCATGTCCCTAGAAATCCAAAGACTCTGTATGCTGGCCAAACAAGACCAAGGATATCAGAGACAAAGTGAGCAGTTGTGAGGCCAAGCAGGAGAAAGAGACAATGAAAATATACAGCATTCCCAACATAACTTGGAGCAAAGCAGTAATGGCCCTTTTCATTCCAAACCACACACTACCTCATTATGGTAGACTACTATTCAGACTTCAGGAAACAACACGAACTATCAGACGCTACTGCAGTAGCAAAGCAATGAAGCATTTCAGCAGGCATGGTGACCCAAACAGTGTAGTTTCAGACAATTGACCCCCGTTTACTTTCAGAGAGTTTATGCAATTTACCCAGGAATGGAAATTCATTCATATCACATCAACCTATTGCAGCCAGTCAAATGGCAAAGACGAATTGGCAGTTAAAATCACTAAGATTGCTTAAAGAAAGCTTCAAAAAGCAAAGAAAATCTATGGCAAGCCATTCCTGAAAGAGAAGCACTCCCACGGACTTTAACAATAGCCCAGTGCAACACTTAATGTCAAGATACACATGTACTTTGGTGCCTATAGCCCCAGCATTACTACAACAGGCAGTGCTGGAAGGAGTAACAGACAGAAAGAAAGAGACACACAAAGATCAAAACTTACTATTACCGACAAGCTAATGACCTCCCAGAGTTACAATGGGGACACCTGTCAGGACCATATTATTTCCTCAGGAGAAATCAGCCTGCTTTCCTGCTCTGGCAGCTTGGGACTTCAGTGCCCTGCCTAGTTTGAGCCAGACCCACAAGCCTGCTGCAAACCCAGACCCAGGTCTGAACCACGTCCCCTAACAGCGGTAGGCTTAATTGAAAGCGGCTTAAGATGTGTTCCTGTCTTTAACACTCAGATGCCCAACTCCCAATGGGGTCCAAACCCCAAATAAATCCGTTTTTCCCTGTATAAAGCTTATGCAGGGTAAACTCATAAATTGTTTGCCCTCTATAACACTGATAGAGAGAAATGCACAGCTGTTTGCCCCCCGCACCCCAGGTATTAATACATACTCTGGGTTAAATAATAAGTAAAAAGTGATTTTATTCAATACAGAAAGTAGAATTTAAGTGGTTCCAAGTAGTAACAGACAGGAGAAAGTGAATTACCAAGCGAAATAAAATAGAACACGCAAGTCTATGTCTAATATAGTAAGAAAACTAAATACAGATAAAACCTCACTTTAAGAGACGCTCAAGTAAGCTTCCTTTTACAGTCTAGTCTCCTTCTAGTCTGGGTCCAGCAATCACTCACACCCCCTACAGTTACTGTCCTTTGTTCCAGTTTCTTTCAGGTATCCTTGGGGGTGGAGAGGCTATCTCTTGAGCCAGCTGAAGACAAAATGGAGGGGTCTCCCAGGGGTTTAAATAGACTATCTCTTGTGGGTGGACACCCCTCCCTCCCCCTGTGTAGAATCCCACCTACAAGATGGAGTTTTGGAGTCACATGGGCAAGTCACATGTCCATGCATGACTCAGAACTTACAGGTAGCAGCCATGGTTCACATGCTACCTTGAACGTCTTCAAGTAGACTTCTTATGTGGATTGGAGCCATCCAAGATCCATTGTTCGTTAAGTGTTTCTTGATTGGGCACTTAATTTGCACATTCCTTTCTCAAGAAGCTGACTAAATGCTTTACTAAGGCTACTTAAAAATCAAGCAAGTACAGAGCCAATATTCATAACTTCAAATACAAAAATGATACATGCATACAAATAGGATGAATAGATTCAGTAGATCATAACCTTTACAGAGATATGTTACATGACATATGCAGCATAAAATATATTCCAGTTATGTCATATATACACTCATAAGCATATTTCCATAAAGCCTTATGGGGTGCACTGTCACAGATGGCGGCAGCAAATTTTCCCTATTATATATAAAGCTGTAATGTTACTTTCAGCAGCAGTGAGGAGGAGGGCAAAGAGGGGCCTGTGCAATCAGAAAAGGTAGTCTGCCTATGGATACTTCCCAGCCCCTCAAGGTGCTTGATGTGAGGCATGTGGCCAGAAACTAAGTCATGGGGTGTGTCTCTTGGGGACCTTGAGGTGAGTATTTGGTCCTGCAGCCAGCTGGGCACCCTCCAGTGCACTGTAGGAGAGGTATGAAAAGGGGCAAGGCCCTGGGGCGCCTCACCATGGTTGTTGTAGTCAAGAATACAAGTAGGAGGGCTGGAAAGCAGCAGCAACAGTACTAAGAAATAACAGTCAGGGAGGAAGGGGTCTGACCAACCATGCAGCTGCTGCCACCACTCCAAGCTCAGGAACAGCAGGAGCAAATGTGTTGTTGGTATTTGGTACCAGTCTGGAAGCAGATGTTTACCCATTTTAATGAAGACCAACTTTGCCATCTTGCTTACAGATGGGAAATTGAAGGGGAACTGAGATGTGAGAAGGTTATAAAAATTAAAGGTGAATTGCAAATGAGGGAAAACAGAAAAATAGGTTTCTACCCCTCCCCAGACCTGCCTCCCCTCCCCCCCGTCCTCCTTTATTCAGCATAAAGAAGAAGCCTTGGATGTTCTTTGGTTTGTTGGTCATTGTTTTTTACTTTCCCCTCCAATAATTATTATTTTTGTCAGCTTGTGAAGAGATATTGAAGTATTGGATCTCCCATTTTTCCCAGAAGACCCTATAGATGACTGGAAGATGTGTAGGTTATGACCTTATAAATACCATATAAGTGAAACTTGATTAACTAAAGAGGGAAAGTGACTTTTATTCAGACTATACAACACTTTTTAAATTTGTTTTTGTCAACATCTGTATAACCCAAACACCTGATAAACAGCTAAAAGAAAATATCTTTTCTTAAAGAGCCAGCACCTCCTTTCAATTAAGAGCTTTCAATTTACATCTGTCGGTCCTTCCAAAGAAGAACAGGCTACCAGAAAAAAGAAGACTTGAAATTCCTAAGGATAAAAACAAGCAGAAAAATCACTAAAAGCACATGTATGCGCACAGTGATTAGTCCCACTAAGGTAGGTGATACATTTGGCAGTAAGTATTTGAAAAATCAGTCCCTAAACAAAAAACATACAAATCAACATAGGAGGGGAAATAGGATGCCTCACAAGATATTTTTCCCCCATTCCTGGTTTCAGTTGGTTTTTTAATGATGTTTGCCTCTCTTCTGTGGAAGTAGCGTGAAGTTTCAATAAATAAATATTGTAAAGAGAATAATTAAGGCCAATCAGTGGAAGAAGCAGGTCTTAAACTCACATGTTCTTGGCTCCTAGCCCTCGGCCTGTTTCCATAGGCCAATTCCATAGGATGCGGAATGCTGTAGGCTCCTATATTTCCCATTAACTGGGAAATTGGTTTGGGCTGGCTTTGGAGGGGTTCAGCAGCTAAGGCAATAGTGATGGTCTAGATCCAGGCACAGTGCAGCACACTAATATCTGCAGTCAGGGGAGACGCATGGGGACAGGGATGGGGGGGGGGAGAAGTGAAGGGTCACATGCCCCTCCCCATCGCCTGGGGGCAGCGGGGTGGAAGCAAGGGCACAGCTAATGACTTCTGCCCTTGATTTAGGGAATTTGTTTATAAACAGACAGGGTGATTAAGAGAAGAAAAGGCTTGTCATTAAATTAAATTAAGGATCGTTAGGTGATCCTGAAAGCATTCCCACGCACTCCAGTTAAAAGACAGGAAACAAAGGATAGGAATAAATGGCCCATTTTCAGAATAGAGAGAAGTAAATATAGATGTCCCCAGGGGTCTGTACTAGTCTGGGATCAGTTCTGTTCAAAATATTCATAAATGACCTGCAAAAAGGGGTAAACAGTGAAGTGGCAAAGTTTGCAGATGATACAAAATTACTCAAATAGGTAAGTCCAAACGAGACTGCGAAGAGTTACAAAGGGATCTCACAAAACTGGGTGACTTGGCAAAAAAATGGCAGATGAAATTCAGTGTTAAATGCAAAGTAATGCTCATGGCAAAATATAATCCCAACTATACATATAAAATGATGTTGCCTAAATTAGCATATTTACATGCTGGATGTGGTAAAGATTCTATGTCCCTTCATGCTTCACCCACCATTCTAGAGGACATGCATCCATGCTGATGAAGGGTTCTGCTCAATAAAAATCCAAAACAGAGTGGATCAACGCATGTTCATGTTCAACATCTGAGTCAGATGCCACCAGCAGAAGGTTGATTTTCTTTTTTGGTGGTTCCGGTTCTGTAGTTTCCGCATTGGACTGTTGCTCTTTTAAGACTTCTGAAAGCATGCTCCACACTTCGTCCCTCTCAGATTTTGGAAGGCACTACAGATTCTTAAACCTTAGGTTGAGCGCTGTAGCTATCTTTAGGATTCTCACATTGCTACTTTCTTTGCATTTTGTCAGATCTGCAGTGAAAGTGTTCTTAAATTGAACAACATAGGTCATCATCCTGGGTCATCATCCTGGGTCATCATCTGAGACTGCCATAACATGAAATATATGGCAGAATGCATGTAAAACAGAGCAGGAGACATTCAATTCACCCCCAAGGAGTTCAGTCAAAAATTTAATTAATACATTATTTTTTTAACGCGCATCATCGACACAGAAGCATGTCCTCTAGAATAGTGGCCAAAGCATGAAGGGGCATACAAATGTTTAGCATATCTGGCATGTAAATACTAGCAA